AATAAATTAACACAACAAAAAAGATTCATTATAAATATTTAACCAATTTCACGTGAAATCCAAGCAGCATTTAAATTGTCAATAAATTCTGATTTTTAATTGTATCTTAAGACTAAATGAATATTAAGAGGGAACGGACGGACAATTGTTGTTAGGCCGACTATTTGAAACAGCTGCATTTCATTATAAAAAAATATTTCTTGCCAGTACAAACAGTAAACCTTACCCTGTTTTCTCTTGCACTGAAAGTGAAAATCAGAGAGCTAACTTTTTCCTCTCAACTTAGCTGGCAGCTCCTTTGGATCCTTTGAATAGCCTTTTGAACAAAAGCCTGACATTGAAAACCCCAAGAAGTATAAAAACATTTTTCTTTTTATCAGTAAACAAAGAAAAGGATCTTCACCGCGCGCCTCGCTCGATGATCGCGCCCTCGTCGAGACAGGTGAGTTTGTTCATAAGATTCAAAAATTGAATCTTTAATTGTTAATATTTAATAATATTATTTTATTGATCATTATCGTTATCAAAAAAAAAAATTCAGGATAAATTGCTCTAAAAAAGTAGTATATTTCTTAATGAACTAAGACTTCAATCTCATCAATTCCATTTCTTACTCTCATGGAAAATTAGCTGAATATGGAAGACAACAACCCCATGATGTCTAGAATTATTTCTTACCTAAGCAGCATAAAACATCATCATATGACTATTTTTCAGCTTCTTGATTCCTTCAGGCTCGCCACCCTTCATCCAGCGCTCTTCAGAGTTAGACAGACGGTACATCATACGCAGCTGGACCATTGAGGAAGAGGGCCACCGATTTCAGCAAGTCTGAGCTTCGTTCGGGTAGGGATGTCAATTTCAGAGGACACAAGGGAAAGTAGGATTTACTTGAGCACTCTGCCGACTGAAAATGGGAAATGTACTGTGAAAAACCACGTGCTGGGGGTTGGGGCGCATTACTTGTAATAATTAATTAAGGTTAAATGCTCATTTTGGTCCCTCAACTTTATCCATTTGCACATTTTTGATCCCTAATGAATTTTCTGCACATTTTTTATCCCTCAACTCTAAAAAATGCACACCGTTAGTCCTTCTGTCAGTTATCTGTGACGTGGCAATTAAAAAATTTCACATGGCATTTTTTTATAAATTTTTTATGACATGGCAATAACACATCAGAAAAAAAATACCAACTCATATGCTAACTCATATACTAAATTAAATTAACATTTTATTTTTAATAAAAAATAAAACACTAAAAATTTACCTTAATACCCTTATCTCCCTTTCTTCATCCATCGTCTCCTCTTCTTCCCCTCTTTCAATCATTCTTCTTCCTTTCTTTTTTCCTT